TTATTAAATAGGATTTGTCCTGTATCTGGCTTATTTCAGTAAGTATGTTTTCAAGGTTTATCATCCATGTGGTAGCATACATCAAATTTCATACATTTTTATAGTTGAATAATATTCCATTGTATGTATGTACTGCATTTTGTTAATCTATTCACTTGTTGATAAACACTTGGGTTGTTTCCACCTTTTGGCTATCCTATGTAATAAAAGCCTAATATGCTAAGTGTCCGGTTGTCCAGTCAACAATCAAAGCATAGTATGCTAATGAAATGTGAAGGCCACTCAACCACTCGCTATGACGTGCACTGACTACCAGAGGGCAGAGAGTTGACCAGTTGAGCAGTCACTATGACGTGCACTGACCACCGGGAGCAGATGCTCTGATTAGGTTAGCTTGCTGCTGGGGTCTGGCCAATTGGGACTGAGTGAGACAGGCCGGACATGCCCTGGAGCCCTCCCACGATCCCTCCCCAGCTGGCCAACCGCCCGCGTCCCTCCCCGGCCCTGAGCGTGCACTGGTGGGGTCCCTCAGCCTGGCCTGTGCCCTCTCACAGTCCAGGACCCCTTGGAGGATGTTGGAGAGCTGGTTTCGGCCTGACAGCGGAACGACTGGTCACTATAACGTGCACTGACCACCAGGGGGCAGACACTCAACACAGGAGTTGCCCCCTGGTGGTCAGTGCACTCCCATAGGGGGAGCGCTGCTCAGCCAGAAGTCGGGCTCATGGCTGCTGAGTGCAGTGGCGGTGGCGGGAGCCTCTCCCACCTCCGTGGCAGCACTAAGGAAGTCCAACTGATGGCTTAAGTCCGCTCCCTGCCTAAGCCATCAGTTGGACATCCCCCAAGGGCTCCCAGACTGCAAGAGGGCACAGGCCGGGCTGAGGGATGCCCCCCCTCAAGTGCACGAATTTTGTGCACCAGGCCTCTAGTTGTAAATAATGCTGCACTGAACATAGCTATACAAATATCTGTTTGAGTCTCTGCTTTCAATTCTTTGGAATATGTCCCCCAGGAATGGAATAGCTGAGTCATATGGTAATTCTATGTTTAACCTTTGGAGAAACTGCCAAACTGTTTTTTCACTCTTCTCTGACTTTTAAATCAAAGGTCTCAACCAGACAACAGTTACATGAAATCCTCAACTGCACTTTCCAGGAAAATGCTGTTTGTGGACATCGCCCACTGTCCTATGCAATGGTTTCTACATAAACCCCCTTTCTCTGAAAATAAGAATTCCAGGGTGGGTCATGACTCAGGTATGGAGCTTGCAGCCCAATCTGAGGCTTGAATAGTCATTGTGGGTCCCATGCCCACACCCCTTGGAGACACCCTTTATCATTTCTAGTCACATCAGCCTGACTTCCAATGGCCAGTCTCTGGGCTACCCTTGGGCTGTCCATGCAAAATCAGGCCAGAAGCACCTGGGAATCATAGGCTTCTGCTTCCCTGCCCTCCAAGCACCTTTTACCCAATTACTGACAGGTGTGGGTGTATAAACGCCCCCCCGCCCCCCGCCAGCTCCCGTGCCCCCTGGGATCTTTCTGGGTCATGGGTTTTACACTGTTTCCCAGCTTCCACATGGGATTAAATGCAGCCACTTTATTGTGCTTCATTTTTTACAAATGGAAGGCAAGACCCTCTGCCAGCAGAAAAGGTTACAGCTCACTTTACTGCAATACCTGCTTGATTACGGTGGTCTGGAACCGAACCCGTAATGCCTCTGAGGTCTGCCTGTACCAGTTGCTCACTGTGGTCCCTGCCTAATACATCCCTATACTGACTTATGTCCTCCTTCACCTGCCTGGATCCCTTGCACCTGCCAAGCAACTGCTTGAACTCAAATTCTTGGCTTTGGGCTCTGTTTCTGAGGGAACCTAAACTAAGACAAAGCTCTTCCTAGCAACTTCCAGGACCTGTTTGCTTTCCATGTTTCTGTTCTTCTTTTCCCTGATTCTGAGGTTTTATTTACGTTTTATGATTATTTTAATGTAGGCTTTCTTGTTGTGTTATCTCAAAATCTATGCAGAATAAAGGACAGTGGAGCTGATTTTTAAAAGGCAAGCGCCATCACGTAATGTTATGATTAAAATACAAGATAAATGGTTCACAGAATATGATTCCAATTTTTAAAACTACATATGCACATATGTGTATGCAGAGGGCAAAAAGAACACAAAAGGAATGCATCAAAATGTTAACAGCGGTTACAGATGGTGTAACTTTCTTTTCTTAATACTTTATTTTACAAAGAACACAAAGCTCTAGTTTCCTTATCTATAAAATGGAAATAATCGTACCTACCTCGTGGAGTTGTGTTGATTGAAGTTACGTGTGATTGTAATGCAGGAATTAGCTGCATCCCATCTTCACACAATAATCACAGTATGTGCCTAATATGTACCCCAACAAAGGGTAGCAAGTGCGTTATTGCAGCAGCAATTCATGAGACAGTTTAAAAGGAAAGGTTGGAAATATAAAAATAAGCCCATACGTATATAGTGCTTTGTACTTTTTAAAGAACATTCATTATACGAGCTCACTGACCCTCACAAGAACACTACACAAGGGACCAGCTTAGGGGGAGGGGTGGGCAGGAGACAGGACTGATATTTACTGCACAGCTACACGGTGAGCACTGGCAGACAGCTCGGAGGAGGAGGATGGGGCCCCCAACACCTGCCCAAGCTGCAGAGGCAGGACCAACAGCTCCGACTCTGGACCCCCTGTCCAGTTCCCTTCTATTCCACGAGGCTCCATTATTATAACTGAGCCTCTTACACGCCCAGCCATCCAAGACATTCTCAGTTCCTAAGGCATTGCTGTTCACCAGCCTATCAACACACTCTGCTCCTTCCTAGCTCCTTGTCCAAGGGGAGTACCAGGGGGCATGTGTGTATGGGGGCGGATGGTCTCCCGTTAAAAGACACCACATAACTATTCAAGCGAAATAAAAACCCAGTACTTGCTATGTCAACACAGCAGATTCAAGGGGAATTCCACAGGGGAATTCCACAGCCACACTCACCAAGCGGTTTGCTCCCGGAGTCCTCCCTACATACAAATCCTGGGGCCGTCTTCTGAGATGAGGGACTTGGGGAATTCTGCTAAGGGAATTCTGCGAGGAGCGTGGGGTGGGGGAGAGGACCTGGAAGGGTCTTACTCCTCCTCTACCGCCTCAGGGCCCGTGTTCTGGTCATCATGGAGAATGCTGACAGTTTTTCTTGCCAGACCCCCAGTTATTGTGGTATCTTACTGGTCTGCAATGGGCAGGGCCGCCTGGGATGGGATGTGGGGGTAGGGTAGGGCTATGAGCCAGGCAGTTTAGGACAAAGCACTTCAGATGCAGCCTGTGCAGCCTGTCCCTAATCGCCCTGTCCTCTCCGCCTTGCCTCCTACTCACTCACTGAAGCCCTGGGCTTCTAGACTGACCTTGGGACCTCTCTCCTGACCAATCAGGCCCGAGGCTGATCTCTATGATACTTGTGCTCCTCCTCCTGGCAGAATGTCTACCTAAGGCAGCCATGTGTGGGAGCTTCAGGGAAGCCGCCTTGCCACCCGCCTCGCTGACAAGCTCTCTTGCTGGCACCGGGGCCATAGCCGCAGAGCGCCTGTCCCCCGTGATGCCGCCGTGAGCCTCGTTGCTGTTCCCAGTGCCTGGCATGGGAGCCACTCCCTTTCAGCGTAGCCTTTCAAAGCCCCCTCCTCTGCTCCAGCTCTTTTCTTTCTTCAAAATTTCCACAGCATCTTCCCCAACCCCCTTATCACTCGATTATGTTTCAAGGATGAATTATCTTTAGAAATGTGGTGCAGACACCCAACTTGTTCCTTCTGCGGGGAAGAAAGGCACAACTGACTGGAGCCATGCCACACTCTTGTTCAAAAACTTTCAGTGGCTCCCAACTGCCTCTAGATAAGTTCTAGCTCCTTAGTCTAACAGTAAAGAGACACCTCCATCCCGTTAGCTGGGAGGACTTCGTAGCCTGTTCTATAGACCAGCGGTGGCCAACAGGTGGTCCCTGGACCACTGGTGGTCTGTGAAGCATGAAAGGTTGGCGACCACTGCTATAGACCATGGGGTCCTTGAATGCAGTTCTTTCCTCCTTGAGGATGCAAAACCCAAACCGCACCTAACACCACGGGGTTAGCCCAAAGGCCACTTCTCCCCCAATTTTTCAGGGTAGGAAACCGTTTCCATTCTCATTAGCATGTTGCCTAACCTTCCATCTGGTATTCAATCTGATTTTCTCTGTAAACTTGAAGTCAAGGATGGACTCCCTTTTTATTTTTTGTTAATCCTCACCCGAGGATATTTTTCCATTGATTTTTAGAGATAGTGGAAGGGAGAGGGAGAGAAAGAAACATCGATGTGAGAGAGAGACACATCGACTGGTTGCCTCCTGCACGCAACGGGACTAGGGCGGGGAACCTGTAACCAAGGTACATGCCCTTGACCGGAATCGAACCCGGGACCCTTCGGCTTGCGGGCTGACGCTCTACCCACTGAGCCAAACCGGCCAGGGCCAGGACAGACTTTTTAAATGTGTGCTCCGTCCTCGCCTTGTGAGTGGCACTAACTCAATAAACGTTTATAGGTCTCAGCCCCAATTTGTAAGCTTTCTCCCTAAAGTTTCACGAGCTCGAGCAATGTCTTCTTAACTAGACTGAGCATCTCCCAGAGCAGAGCGTCTCCAATTTAAGGATCATTCGAGTCCCCTGGGTCCTTTGTGAATTGCGGATTCTGACTCTGGGAGGGCCGAGGAGGGGCCGAGACTCTGCACTTATAACAGGCTCCTAGGTGATGCGAATGCAGCTGGACCACATTTAGAGAAGCCGGGAAGCGATACCACCTGTGGGTCAGGTAACAGCTCACACCTGTGCGGCGGCAGCGCTGCGGCTGAACCGGAGGTGGAGAAGCGCTGGTCCCCCCCTTCCAAACGCCCCGCCAGGAACGATGCCAGCGAGTCCTCCCGCGCCTCCGCCCTCCCGCGCGGCTCACGTACCGATAGTGGACACCACGGTGCCCACGAAGTAGAAGGCGCCGGTGAAGTCCCAGCGCGGGCGGGTGTGGTCCACGCGGATGCCGGCCTCGGTGGCCTCCTCGTAGTGGCGGAGGAAGCCGCGCAGCTCGTCGCGGCTCAGGTTGTGGCGGCGGCTGAAGTTGGCCAGGCGCTCCTCCCAGCGCTGCTTGGCCTGGCGCTCGTGCGCCAGCTCCAGGGCCGAGAAGACGGCCGCGTCGCCCAGCAGGTAGAGCACGATGAGCGCGGCGAGTAGCAAGAAGCGCGCGTTGTCCTCGTTCACGTGGCGCGGGGCCGCAGCCTGCAGTCGCAGCTCACGGCAGGCACTGGACTGGCACACAGGGGGGACAACGCGACTGCTTGGCTGGATTAACGAAAGAACCCATTTTGCCCGCTCCCGAGAGCTCTTATTGTAACAACTGCTCGGACTAGAATTGACTATTAGATAGTATCATTCGGAAGGCAATCCTTGAGAAGA